GGTGAGGCGCTGCGAGGCTAAGGGCAGACAGGCACGAGGTGCCATCTCCTCTGAGCCTGTCAGCACAATGACACTGATGAAACACGTGCAGGGTCAGGTTCCTCCTGCCGATGAGCTGGGCACCATATACCAGCCCATCTCTGTGCTGTTTCCCACACAGACAGTGAAATGACCTCCCACCCAGAGGGTGACTGTAGTCAAACAACAGACACTGTCTCAAATGCCTTTTACACAGGCAAACCTCGGGTAGAAACATCCCCGTGGAGCCAGCTGCAGGGTCACAGGACACTGAGTGTCTCCGCTAAAAACCTGGTCAGGTCCCACACTCAGAAAAAATGAAGGATACAGGTTCCTACCAAAGACCCACCACGTAGACAGGCTGAATGATCAGGTATGTCTATGTAAAGGGGATCATAATAAATTATGGGTAACACTGAGAAGAATGGGAATTCCAGAACACTTGATTATACTCATGAGGAACCTGTACATAGATCAGGAGGCTGTCATTCAAATGGAACAAGGGGATACTACATGGTTCAAAATCAAGAAGGGAGTGCATCAAGGCTGTATCCTCTCATACACTTATTCTATTTGTATGCTGAGCAAATAATCCGAGAAGCTGGACTATATGAAGAACGTGGCATCAGGATTGAAGGAAGACTCATTAACAACCTGTGATACACAGATGACACAACTTTGCTTGCTGGAAGTGAAGATGACTTGAAGCAATTACTGATGAAGATTAAAGACTACAACTCCAGCATGGATCACATCTCAATATAAAGAAAAAAAATCCTCACAACTGGTCCAATAAACAGCTTCACGATAAATGGAGAAAAAACTGAAGTTGTCAGGACTTCATATCACTTGGTTCTACGTCAACACCAATAGAAGCAGCGTCAGGACATCAGGTGTTGTCTGCGTTGTCGTCCTGTGCCGTTGGGTCGGACCCGACTCGTATGGGATCGGGTAAATCTGGTGCAAAAGACCTCCTTCAAGTGTTGAAGGGCAAAGATGTCTCCTTGAAGACTAAGGTGCACCTAATCCAAGCCACTGTATTTTCTATTGCCTCTTATGCATGTGAGAGCTGGACAATGAATAAGGAAGACTAAAGAAGAGTTGATACTTTTGAGTTGTGTTGGTGAAGAATACTGAGAATACCATGGACTGCCTAAAGAACTAACAAATCTGTACTGGAAGAAGCACAGCTGGAATGCTCCTTGGAAGTGAGAATGGCCAGACTTCGTCTCACCTACTTTGGTCATGTTGTCAGAAGGGACCATTCCCTGGAGGAGGATGTCATGCTTGGTAAAGTGGAGGGTCAACGAAGAAGGGAAGGCCCTCAACAAGATGGACTGACACAGTGGCTGCAAGGATGGGCTCAGGTGTAGCAGGGATTGTGAGGCTGGCACCCTGGGCAGTCTGCCGTTCACAGGGTTGCTGAGTCAGACACTACTCAACAGCACCTAACAACAACAACGACGACAACAACATGCAGGGGGGAGTGTGCCCAAGACCATGTATAGGGCTGGCAGACAATGTTTCCACAAGTGTATTGGTATGTTCTGTAAGAATTCCCAGGTATACAGTAGAGCTGACAAGGGACAAGGTTGTAATCACTTCTTATCCACAGCCAGCTACCCAGAGGGAGCAAGCAGTTGGACCTGTGGGCTCAGGACCAGGGTCACACGGGACATCAAGTTCAAATGTCATAACATACTACACAAAAACATTAATGTACAACCTACTTTGGCAAGTAGTGACTGGAATCTTAAAAGCTTGCAAGCATCCATCTAAAGGCAATGATGGGTCTCTCCTTGTCCAGAGCAAAGAAGAATGAAGAAAACTATATGGACTCATAGAAACAATTAGTCCAAATGACTGGTACACCATGTAATCCTCAGTCTATATTATGATGAGACCAGAACTAGATGGTGCCCAGCTACCACTGTCAACCACTCAGAAGGGGATCTATGTAGGAGATCCTGGATAGAGTGGGAGAACAATGTGGAACAAAACTCAAAATCATTTAAAAAAAAAAAAAAAAAGGACCACGTTTGCTGGTGTGATACAGCCTGATGGAACCACTGAGACTATGGCCCCTAGCTGCCCTTCAGGTCTGGAACTGAACCCACTCCTGTGGCTTCTAGTCAAGCAAAAGACAAGCATATGAGCTGAACATTTACACTAGGTAGATACACTCCTCAGAGAGATCAACCTTGGGAGAACAGAAGGGCTGTGTCTGCACAGGGAGACAGCTCAGGGGGCAGGAGTGCATGGAAGGGAAGGACATGGGGAAGAGGTAACTATGGGGAGGAAGTGGGAGGGGAGCTGTTGCATTGTGGGAGATTATAGTCAATGTCATGAGACAAAGTGTATGTGAGCTGCTGTATGGAAGATGAATTTGCTCGGTAAACTTTCACCCAAATCACAATTAAAAAAAAAAAAAAGACTCACCATGCAGGTTTCACATTGGCAACATGAGGCGATGGGTTTCAAGCCTCTGGGCAGCAATGGAACTCCCCTGAGGGAACCCTCCCAGACTCCGCCTCTGCTCCCATCTAGAGGCAGCTGCCCAAGTGCAGGAGGAAGTCCCTGGCTGCAGACCATGGACCGAGGGGAATCAGAGATGCCACCAAGGAAGACACCTGAGGGGATCTTGTTCTCAGAGCTGTTTATGGCAGACCCACCTGGTCTCTACCAGCCTTAAGCCACCCTGCAGTTTGGTTTCTTCTACACGGCTTGTGGCGATGTCAGGAAGCCACGTCCACCCCGGATAGCACACAGACCTGCCACAGATGCTCACCCGACGTCAGCACGCAGTCCACACCCTGCGAGGTACGCGAGGCTGTGTGGACATCCTCTTGGAGTGCTTCCAACTTCCTGTCATAGCAAGGGCCCACAATGACGTGGAAGATCTCATCTGGAGAGAGGTGCTGTGGAGAGCGCAAAGCTGTGTTTGGGCCGGCAGCAGAGTGACACCGGCAGCTTACTGTTAGCGCCTGCAGCACGTGGGTGGCATTTGTGCACGTCCCTACACCTGTCCAGCATGGCCAGGCCCAGGGTCCCCTGCAGGCCTGAGCTCTGGCCCACCTTGTCTTGGCAGCACCAGGAACACCAGGCAGCAAGCAGACTGGAGAGACTAAGGGGAGGACCAGGAGGGCTCAGCCCCTTCCCTCCTGAGCCCGATGCCCAGGCAGTGTCCCCTGCCTCCCAAGCCCGATGCCTAGGCAGTATGCCTGCCCCCCCCCAGCTCAATACCCAGGCAGCATCCCCGCCCCCCGCGCCCGATGCCCAGGCAGCGTCCCCCGCCCCCCGAGCCCGATGCCCAGGC